AAATTATGACACAAAAGAAAACTAGCTATGGAAGAACGAAACCGAGATAACCTTGCAAACGATAGTTAACGGGTAGGCCTTTACGAGGAACTCTGGTGACCTGACGACATTCCGGACATTTGATGACGAATTTTGTACTTGCTGATTCGCATGGTTTGAAAGCGGCATTTCACCAACATCCTAGAAAAAAAGCTGGGAAAACTGAATATTGAACAGATTGTTGGTCAGAATTAAGCAATGTTCGCATACGTTATGTTTATTTGAGAATACCAGAGGATAGAAGGAAATCTTCTTAAGCTACACTTGGGAAGCTGCTTAGAAACATATGTTCAGATAGTTTCAGTCTAACTGCGAAAAAAAATGTTCCCCATCAATGTTTTTCATATTCAAGCATTCATCATCCACCTTCATAGGACAAAGTCATGCTCGTAATTTATGGTAGACTAACCTCATTGTTCCGGTTACGAAGCTGTGGGTGAGGTAATATTTCGTGAAACGGAAGTGACGGCTTCTGTGCTACCATACGAAGGTTAGGGTTCGGCCACCGTTCCACAAGCGAGGAAGAGCGAGGGGGAAGTGGGGGCGCCTGAAATAGGTAAGTTGCAATATGATGTCAATGAGATATTATATAAAGCAAATGCTTACTTGACCGAGAGCGGGACCGAATGTTCTAATTACTTCAGAAAGATTGCCATTGCGCTCATCACGCGCCTTTGTGATCTGACCAAAAGAAAGTTAAACATTAAGAAAACTAGCAAGCCAACTTTAACTTAGAAAAAATAAACATAAAAAGAATGATCATAACCTCCCTATTCTCAAATGCTGACCTATCGCTACAAGAGCTTTGTGCAAGATTTCAGGTGATGTTTCATTTATCTAAGTATTTCAACAGCTTAGACCTTCTCTCGAAAGACCAACTTGAGAGTAATACAACTTGTTCCAATTCTTCAACTATGGTGAATGATGGTAACTACCATGATATAAAACGTTCGCGCACGCAGCATTGTCAATTTTGCATGAAAGGTGTAGATATTTGCGTGTGGGAGTGCCTGGGCTTCCAGATGCCAGCTGCAAGCAA